TCTAGTTATTCCTTCATGAGAGTTGCGAAGCTGTTAAAACTGTAAGTCTGATTATATAATTACAAATCATTCCAGCAAGGAAGCAAATGTGGCTTTTTAAGTATCTTGGACAAGAGTTCTAGTACTAAATATAATAAGTACTAAGTATATTGTGATGCATAACAAAAAGCAGTGATGCCTAAAAGCCAGTAAGAGTTCCTTAAGAACAGATTACCTTTAGGTTTTTGATAGCATTACAGGATTAAGATTCATGGAAGTGTGGTATGTGATATATATACATACACACAGGTGAACAGAGCTCAACTGAAATCTCTCATACTATTTCAAGAACAAAATAAAAAATAACTTTTTAACAACCATAAGTCTCTAGTACTGCAATACTCTTTGGGCTCCCCTTAAATGGGCTTTCCTGGTGGCTCAGATGGTAAAGAGTCTGCCTGCAGTGTGGGAGACCCGGGTTCAATCCCTGGGTCAGGAAGATCCCCTGGAGAAGGAAATGGCAACCCACTCCAGTATTCTTGCCTGGAAAATCCCATGGATGGAGAAGCCTGACAGGCTACAGTCCATGAAGTCGCCACGAGTCGGACACGACTGAGCAACTTCACTTTCTTTCTTTCTTTTTTCTAAACTGGCACTTTGGTGCTACTGAGAGTGCCAGAGAAGCAATGCTTACACTGATGCAGGCACCAAGACTGATGGCCTCCTAAAGGCCCCTTCCAAAGCTACTGAAATTATATATTCTATTAATGTGCACAGTCTACTTAAACTTTTTGTTAAAAATTCCAAATTTTGGGCTCTCCCCCTGAGTTTATATACTGACTGGATGTTGTTATCAAGTGTTGATTTTGAAGCCACAGAATCTTGGTTCTCATCACCTTCTATTCTAAGCCACTCGTGTTTTCTAGTTTGATTTATGGTACAACATCTTACTAGTCAACATGGCTAAAGAGCCTGGGGTCACCAAATCATTTTCATCTACCTATCTGACCAGCCAGTAAACATTCACTGAGTATCCTTATCCTAAAGAAGCTCATGGCTAAGAAAATAACTTACACAAGCAACTGTAATACAGACAAGAGCTATAAGAGTGATATTATTAGAAATGATGGGAGTACCCATGACAGACGACTCAATCAAGGAACACTCTGAGCAGATAATTGACTTAAGTTTAAAAGCTGAGTACTTCACTAAACACTACAGACAGGAGAAAGCCACTGCTGAAAAAGGAAGTGCTGTGTGCAGAAGTTTGGAGCTATGAACAGAGTTAGCAATGAAATGTCAAGCAATAAGCCACAAGTGAAGGGAACACCAAGAGATGAAGATGCTCTTGGTGAATCGTGATTAAATGCCATCATCATTATCTACCCAGTCACCCAATCAGAAGCCTGAGAGTTCATTCAAGATTCTGTCCTTCTCCTTCATGCCCCATTTCCAGCTGGTAACCATGTCTGAGAAAATTTGCTTCTTCCTCTCCCCTGACTCTTTTCATTCCTTCTGCTTCCCTCTCTACACTTCAGGTTCTCCCATCTCATCTCAGTGTGACGTCTGGCTTGCTTCCAGCCATGGCCCTTCCCACCTATTCTGGACTGCCAGTCAGAGTGATTCTTTGGCAAAGAGTCTTCCACTCGCCAAGAAACAACTCTAGATTTCTGCCTTCATCCGCCTTCTCTACATTTTCAGAAAAGTATTTTATTCCTAAGGAAGAACATATAGCATTCTGCTTTGTACTATATATAGAGCTAAAAAGACAGGCCATTCAATCCATGTGATTTGTTCACATTCCACACAAGAGAGTTGAGACCCATGGTCCCTGATAATCAGGTAGTGGATCATGGGACCTTGGACACCCCCTCCCCACCTCTGTTTAAAATTGTTGGGCAAATAGCTGTCTCAATAGAACAATATTTTCTACTCTAGAAATTCTGTGCTCTAGACTTCAGTGTGTGACCTGCAGAGGACTGGCAGTACTATTTGGGGGCCATGTATGTTACTAAGCAGGTAAATGGCCACTGTGTGGAAAAGAGCAGAATAATACAGCTCACGTGCAGAACGGGGTAAAGAAAAGATGCCATGTGGTGGCTGGACTTGTCAGGGTGGTTGAGACAGAAGCTGTGTTTCCTTTGCTACCTTGTTAGTTCTGAGTTCCCCATGAGACCTGCTACACTTACTGCCCTGGGTTTTAGACAAACCACCAATTTCTTATAACAATCGCCACTTTCACTTCAATTAGTACAAGTAGAAGTCTATTTCCTAGAAAATAATTAATCCTATGACATTTATGTAAATTCATTCTGCATTAGGCTATAATTTCTTTAAAGAAACCAGGGCTTATTTACCTTTGTATTTCTCACATAATACATAATAGCAGTGACTTACACATAAATTAACACCTGTCTTGTGAACTGAATTTAATTAATCTAATTTAATTTAGATGAAGTAAATGGCTTTGGACTTGGATGATCTATGGCAACTGTATAGGTAGAAGTTCAATAATTCTCAAGGGTAGAGTGTTGAGACAGAGAACAAATTCAAAAGGAAGGCACTTTGGTTAAACTTGGTTTTGAGGCGTGATTTCTATGGAAGCAAACCACACACATTCACACCGTAGCAAGCACTACCTCCACGCTCCTGGTCAAAACCTAGTAAGGATGAGAAAGGAAACCCAGGCAGTCACAGCACAGCACATTCTGGTTGGGAAATGGTGATCTCAGCTCCTGAAGATCAGTAACTGATAGCCAGAACAAAACAGCAAGGCGACCACCAACATGCAACAGCTGTGGCCCGCACCCCCCATGAGACAGACGTCAGCTGAGAACTTCATCGTGGAAACTTGCCGCACTTTACTTCTGAAGATAAATTTTCTCTTTTCCACAAAGACTTTTTAACAGGCTTACTTCCATGAAAGACAATTTTTAATGTCTTTATAGTAAGAAGGTAGAGAAAAAGCACACCTTTCCATCTAAGTAGGAGAATCTTCAATTTTTTGTATGTAAAAGATGATTAACATATGGTTACTATTTTTAAAATATTATTTTTCTGGATTCAGCAAATGTCCTTGCTGCTTCAAATACTCAACTCCTTTTTTGATTACTGTTGTACTTTACCCATAAGAAAACAGTTTTTGATGAAGTAAGGCTTCATCAAAAAAAAAAAAAAAAGAGGCACCTGAAGGGCCATTTGAACAATAAGAAACTCAGTCTGTGAAGATTTCCTGACTATACCCTGACTACACCCTTACAGCTCAAAAACTAAGGAAGTAGCCCAATCAAGTATACACAATGGGATATGACAGAAAGGCAGATAAAGACAAGGCTGGATTTCCTGCCTTGATGTGAAATGTTCCCTTTTCACTGCCAAGCAGAGTGTGGCGGGCACAACCACCAGGGCCAGGTGGGACAGCCATTATCGAGCCTTTTGAGTGGATGGTGAGAAACTGGCAAGCTGCTGAGAAGGGCTATTTAGGGCTCAAGGGGTTGACGTCACTTTTGGATAATGAGTTAGGCTTCAAAATGATGACATTGCAATCACATCACTTAAGAACAGAAAAGAAAGTGCAAGCGCTCCTGAGTGTCTCTGAGAACATATCAATAGCTGTGATCTTCAAATCACTGAGAAAGTGGCCCAAGATAGTATATATTTTTAAAAATATATTTATTTATTTATTTGGCTGCACCAGGAGGTCTTAGTTGCTGTATGTGGAAATTTTAGCTGTGGCATGCCAACTTTTAGTTGTAGCGTGTGGGATCTAGCTCCCTAATCAGGGAGCAAACCCAGGCCCCCTGCATTGGGAGTGTGGGGTCTTAGCCACCGGACCACCAGGGATGTCCCAGGATAGTATATTTTAAATTGCATTATTAGGACACACAGATATGACCTGCTTTACTTCACTAACCATAAAAGGCTAAACAGAGAATAAAGTGCACCAAGGCAGCACTTGGTAGCCATCCATTGTGTTGACACTCATAACCAAGAACGTTCCCAGGAGGGTCCATCCTGTACTAGTTAGCTGACCAACAGCAAGGCACCAAATCAGACTGAGGGTAGCATCAGAGCAAGCTCTTCCAGCTTTCATGCCTTCATTTTCATTTCCTATGAAGCATAAACCAGATGTCACCCATAATAAAGGGCTACAGATATAGCTAAAACTTAATACTGCTTCTTTTTCAAAATGAACATCAATTATAAGAAGGAAACAGGTGCAGCATTTGCTTAAACAGCTGGGTCCAGCAGCTTCTTCAGATGACAATGAAGTGGCTAATGATGATGCTCTGTGGCTACAGAATCTATACTTAAGCTAGACTGGTTTCTGAAAGCTTCCCTAAAAACATGGCACCCTTTCCCCTGCTTTTGGCAGGGCGATTTAACGTTTAATGCTATTAAGTGAAACCTCTGAAGTGTTAGTCACTTAGTTGTATCCGACTTCTTGCGACCCCATGGACTGTAGCCTGCTAGGCTCCTGGATCCACAGGCTTCTCCAGGCAAGAATACTGGAGTGGGTTGCCATTTCCTCCTCCAGGAAACCTCTGAAGGCTCAATACCAAAAAAGCACATCATTCAAACATATCTTTACATTCTTAGTTTTTAAGCCTGGGAAATTGAGGTCCCATGAATATGCCTCCATTTTCACATATTTTAACACTAGTGTCTGAAAGGAGGGATGTGACTATTGGATGCAATGAATTCTTTACAAATTCACAAGTACAAACAGGATTCGTTACATAACAGGAAGTTAAGTCGAGGCTTAGAATGTACTTACCTTTTATGCCAAAAACCAGAAACAAACAAAAAGGGTGAATGTCTGGCAATTCAAGGAACCTACAGATGAACAGTTGAGGTGGTAGCTAAGGGCCATTTCTGAGGAACTAGGAGCAAAATATGCCTAGGACCCATGCTTTAGTGAAGAAATAATAATTAAAATACACACAAAAACAGTTATCTAAACGTTACCTAAACCAACTTGTGTCTGATTTCGGTAGTCTTTCTCGCCAAAGGTCACCTACCCCAGGGCAAAGTTGCTGTCCTCCTTCCAGTCCATGATGCGGCAGATGAACAGTGTGTTGGCATAGTCTTTGGGCCGGGTCACAAAGTCCTGCGGACAGTCCTTGAGAGGCACGTATAGTCTAGGCACTCGGTGGTCTGAGGGAGAAAACAGGGCATATTTCCTAAACAGTTCACTGTTCTTATCAGCCAAGAGTTTGAGGAAGCCAGTCGCTGCACGTGAGTGCTTCTTCTCCAAGATGTAAACCACCTGAAAATACCAAGGATACATATAGGGTCAGTGTTGTTTATCTACAATACTAGACAACAGTTAGGAGAAAGCAGAACATTACCCGGTCACCTCGCTGGGTCCAAGAGCTTTTCTAAGTCCTATTCAAGTACTTCTCAGTGATGCTCTGTGACTAAATGACTTTACCACAATGTCAGTTTTGCATATGAGTGCTGTGTTTGCCTGGTAATTTTAGATCAAACTAAGAAACTATACCAAAAAAAAAAAAAAATAGAGAGAGCACCATTGGGGGGCAGCAGCAAATTGCAGAACACAAATTCCATCTACAGAGGTTGCCTCTACTCAGTTCTGACCAAAGTCAAAGTCATTTAAGAATGTGGCCCAGTGTTCCCAGATGTTTTATTTTGTCGAGAGAAGCCAGAAGCCTGATTTTTTTTTTTTAACTCGAACCACTCCATTTTTTTTTTTAATGAAAGCTACTAAGTCAAAATTTTTAAATATTATACAGGTCAAACAAAAAACAAATTTGTGTGAATTCCCTGGCAGTCCAGTGGTTAGGACTCCACTACCACTACATTGCCAAGGACCCAGGTTCAATCCCGGGTTGGGGAACTAAGATCCTACAAGCTATATGGTGTGGCCAAAAAATGAAAAAACTAAAGCACTTTTTTTTTTTTTAAAAGGCACAAGTTTGTAAGCCAGACCCAGCCCATGGTCTTTCTGTTCATTAAATCTTTCACACCTATCATGTTGCCTAGTATATGGTTAGTATTCAAAATGCTTCTTAAAATAAAGATCTAAAAAAAAAAAAATTAAAAAAAGTAAAGATCTAAGTAACTGAATAGGCACTTGGCTGGGTGGGGGAGGGGCAATAATATATATGTAATATAATTTAGAAATTCCCCATGTCGGTATGCAGGAGACACTCTCCTAACCAACTTGCTAGACTGAGCATCAACACTGCACTCCCAGGGTACACGTGCCAACAGAGAGGAGACCACGTGCTCTCACATACTTCGCCCTTGGTACCACTCCTTCCACCCGGAGCTACCCTCATAGCAAGGATCAGCTGGATCTGATCCCATATCTGAGTATGTCACCAGCATATATCGTTTAAAAAATAAAGTTGAATTATGCAAAAAAAAATTGGTTTTGTTACTATGATAACTAAATTAAATGCTTTGGAGGAACTAAAAAATACTTTATTAAAAACTTACTTTTCAATTAGATATAGTCATGACAATAATAAAAGCAATTGGAGCCAAAAACTGTAAAAATCTAGGAGTCTCCACTCATATTGCTTCACCAGTGCCTAAATTCTCACTTCGCTTTAAATAAAACAAACCGGAAATTATAGATGTCATATTACAAGTGCAGTTTACGCAGAAAGATAACACAACCTCAATAAACACCTGCATACACCAAGAAAGGGCCTTGGCCCTTCAGCCAAAGACAGGCAAGTGAATATATAGGAATATATAGGTATATAGGTATATATAGGTATATATATGTATATATATATAAACCAAAAATATAAATAAATATACATATATATATATTTAAAAGATTCACTTTTTATGATTCCCTGCTTTCATTGACTTTTCTGATGAACTAAGCAACTGCAGTCCTAACTGAGTTGTATGCAAGGCCTGCAAGAGGAAGCTGCTACCAGCCAGACAAGTGAAAGAAACAGGCAAAGACCTTTGCTGATCTCTGCTGTGACTTCTCTGGTAATACTCTGGAGTCCTGTGATGTGAAGGTGTTCTCATCTTTTATCATTGGTGCACCAGCATCCTCTTTGCCTAATTTAAAACAAGAGAACAGGAGAGGAGACATCAGGTAGATGCAGAGCTATGAGGCATACAGACTCATGGGGTTTTTAAACTCAGAGCCACAAGGATTCTTGGAAACCATTTACCCCAAACTATCATTTTACAAAAAAGGAAACCCGGACCCACAGTGGTTAGGTGACTTGGCTAAGGTCAATTACATCACCAACTTGTATTAATGCTCACGCTCAGCAGGCCACATTTTATCTGTTTAATGTTATTCATAAGTTAGGCATCATATAAGTGAAGATACGTTGAATTAAACTAAATCGCCTGTGTCAAGATGCCAAAAAAACTAAATGCTATACACTGTCCCCACCCACAAGGAAGAAGAGAGACATGTTAACTTATATGCACATCTGCTGAAATAAAACAAAATCAAAATAAATGTTAACTTTTAAAAGTACTTTGGTACCAGCCATAACAAACAAAATGGTGGAAAATAGATTATATTTATTAAATAAACAAATAAAAAAGCCAACCCTGATTTTCCTGGCTTTTCTTAGTGACATTATATAAAGAGTAAAGTACTTAAAGTCTTTTAATGTTTAATTTCCTTTCTTAAAAAACTTATAAAATGCACATTCACCCAAAATACTGAAACCACATCTCTCCAGTAAAGAGGGAGTTAGGCTCTGGACCAGAAGTATTAAAACCACTCTTGAAAAAAAAGCAGCAAATTACACACTTCTGAACATTTAATATTTTATATTTTCATGTGTTACATTAGATTTCCCCCACAAAATATTCTTATCCAACTATCCTGGAGTTTCTAGATGTTAGGGTCATAACCAATTCATGTGGGACCCACTCCAGCTAGCTAAGAGAGACTTGTATTTATCATCTTTTAGACATTATCATGGCCAAAATAAATAAATAAATCCTTTTCAGGACTGGCCTCTTAGCAAAGGCTCAGCTGAAAGCCAACTTTACTCTGGGCGTACTCTGGAAACACTGACATGATCTGACCTACTGGGGCTTAAGAACCATCAATTGAATGCTTTTCCATCTATGCTAAAATCTACCTACCTAGTGCCCACTGAAAGCAGAATTCTTACTGTTTTCTGAAAAGAAAAACAAAATAAAACTTTCCCGTTGTCAATCACCATGTTTATCAGTAAAAGAGGGACATCATCTAAGTCCATCTTTTATTTTAGACCAAGTTCAGGATTCCAAATGCATCAGATGCTTCCAGAACAACCTCTTTTATACTCTTGGCGGTTTAGTTGCTAAGTCGTGTTCGACTCTGCAACCCCATGGACTGTAGCCCACCAGGCTCCTCTGTCCATGGGATTTTCCAGACAAGAATACTAAAGTGGGTTACCATTTCCTTCTCCAGGGGATCCCAACCCAGGGATTGAACCCAGGTCTCCTGCATTGCAGGCAGATTCTTTACTGATTAAGCTACCAGGGAAGATTGACACTCGTAGGGAGAAAAAAAAAACCTACACAAATTGTAGACCTATCCCGTAACATATCTTGTCAATGTGTTCTGCAGAACAAGGTAAATTCAGGAAAGATTAGGAGGCTGGAATTACCATGAACAAGTATACTCTACTTAGATGTCTGATATCAAGACCCGGCAATCAAGAAAAGGTAGTGAGGGGGTTTCCAAGATAGCCTAAAATCCTGGGCAGGCAGCTTTCTGTGATGGTCACTGATGGCTCCGTCTTAAAATGACTATTGCTTCAGATTCCATTCCAACCATAAGCAACTCTTCTGTTCTAATGGTTACGCCAGGTTGCGTTAAAAAAAAAAGAGGAAGTGGCCACTCATGATTTTCAGAGATGACCTTTTCAGGGTCTATGTTCATAAGGATTGCTAGAGAAGACTCTTGAGAGTCCCTTGGGCAGCAAAGAGATCAAACCAGTCAATCCTAAAGGATATCAACCCTGAATATTCATTGGAAGGACTGATGTTGAAGCTGAAACTCCAATACTTTGGCCACCTGATGCAAAGAGCTGATTCACTGGAAAAGACCCTGATGCTAGGAAAGACTGAGGACAGGAGGCAACAGGGGGCAACAGAGGATAAGATGGTTGGATGGCAACACTGACTAAGCAGACATGAGTCTGAGCAAGCTCCAGGAGATAGTGAAGGACAGGGAAGCCTTGCATGCTGCATATGGATATCCTAGAAGAAATAAGCTTGTTCAGACAAAGATGCACTCTAATATTATAGGTTAAACTGAAGCCTGTAGCCTTAGAGGTGAGCACCAAAAATATGTTCAATAAATGTGAAGAAACACAATGCCAGGTTAGAAAAGTGAGTCACCTTAATAAGTTTCTAACAAACCTACATCTTGGCATATCAAATAGCAGAGCTGCCAATTTAATGAGAGAAACTGTTGCATTGTTTAATCACAAGACCATTAGTTTATTCACTTATCCCATGTGTATTTATTGAGCATTGGGCACTGAGGTATCGGTGTGAATAAAAGAAAGATGATCCCAGCTCTTAGGGAACATACAGTTTAACGTTGGAGTGATATTCAATAAATACACACTCGATAAATATGAAGTTATAAACTGTGATAAATGCTAAGAATGAAAGAACACTCACAAGGAGGAAGAACAGAGAACATACGATTTAGATTAAGAAGTCACATAAAGGCCCTGTGTGCAAGTGACATTTGAGATGAGACATGAGGATGGTGTGTGTAGGAGTGAGGAAGGGGACAAAAGACCGTGGGTGGGGAATGGTACTTGGGAAGGGGCGGAGGTGTGAAGTCCTAGGCACAGTCAAGGAATGGAAAGACCAATAGGCTGGAGCACATGAGCAAAAAAAGGCGTGGCAAGAAATGGAAATGAGAGGTAGACAGGAGTCAAGTCAGATGGGGCCCTGCAGAAGTTAAGGATTCTGGGCTTAAACCTGCATACAATAGGAAGCTGGCTGAGGATTGTGTTCAAGAAAGTGACTGCCTGACTTATAGAGACTGGGCCAACCTAAGACGGTGGATGTAGGGAGGCCAGTGAAGAGCTACTGCCACAGTTCAGACATGAGAGGACAATGCTACAAGGCCGGCACTGGAGATGGAACTAAAAGGATCAATTTAAGACATATTTTGGGGCTGAACTAATAGACTTTGGCGGTAATTAAATATGAGAGTGTGAGGATTACTACATACAAGAAATGAAGGATCACTTCAGCTTTCTGATATCTGCAGCTAGGTTGATGGCGGTATTACTGGCACAGGGAAGACTAGAGGAGGCGGCGAAAGTCAGGAGTTGAATCAGTATTTCGGAGGAGGCTCCATTTGAGACCTGGAGAAGGAAATGGCAACCCACTCCAGTATTCTTGCCTAGAAAATCCCATGGACGGAGGAGCCTGGTGCAGGTTACTGTCCACACTTTCAGTTTCACTTTCCATTTGAGAAGCCACAGTGAGACCTTCAAGTGATGATACTGAGTAACAATTCAACATGAAATTCTGGAACTCGAGAAAAGAGATCTGGACTCTGGCTCAAAGTATAATTTATATGCCAAGAACATCAATAACCTCAGATATGCAGATGACACCACCCTTATGGCAGAAAGTAAAGAACTAAAGAGCCTCTTGATGAAAGTGAAAGAGGAGAGTGAAAAAGTTGGCTTAAAGCTCAACATTCAGAAAACTAAGATCATGGCATCCAGTCCCATCGCTTCAGGGCAAATAGATGGGGAAACAGTGGCAGACTTTATTTCGGGAGGCGCCAAAATCATTGCAAATGGTGACTGCAGCCATGAAATTAAAAGATGCTTACTCCTTGGGAGGAAAGTTATGGCCAACCTAGACAGCATATTAAAAAGCAGAGACATTACTTTGTCAACAAACGTCCATTTAGTCAAGGCTAGTCATGTATGGATGTGAGAGTTGGACTATATAAAGAAAGCTGAGCACCAAAGAACTGATGCTTTTGAAATGTGGTGTTGGAGGAGACTCTTGAGAGTCCCTTGGACTGCATGGAGATCCAACCAGTCCCTCCTAAAGGAGATCAGTCCTGGGTGTTCATTGGAAGGACTGATGCTGAAGCTGAAACTCTAATACTTTGGCCACCTGATGCGAAGAGCTGACTCCTTTGAAAATACCCTGATGCTGGGAAAGATCGAGGGCATGAGGAGAAGGGAATGACAGAGGATGAGATGGTTAGATGGCATCACCAACTCAATGGACATGAGTTTGGGTAAACTCCGGGAGTTGGTGATGGACAGGGAGGCCTAGCATGCTCCAGTCCATGGGGTCGCAAAAACTCAGACACGGCTGAGCGACTAAACTGAACTGAACCATATTTATACTTTACAGCCCAAGCCGCAGAGAAGAAATTCAAACCCAAGTCACTTCAGCTGGTAAGTTCATGAAGCTCAACCACTGACTCATGCTCAAGTATGGAGTAATGTACTGTCACTGTTAAGGAAGAAAGAACAATTCACTGAGGAAGTGAGTTGGGACTTGAAGGATATACAGATGTTTTGGACAAAGAAAGTTGAAGGGCATTCCAGGTACAGTGGTACAGTGGTACAGTGGCCCAGAGCTGTGAAACAGCCTGACATGGTAAAGGAAGATGAAGATTCAAGTTGTGATTTAAAGGATGGAGGCACAGCCTTTTCTCCTTTCCTCCTCCTTGCTGGCTGGAATGTGGATGTGAGAGCTGGACCTCGGGTACTCATCTTGGTCCTAGAGGCTACAGGACAAGGGTGCATCCTACTGTGCAGAGAACCACAGCACAGTTGAAGACTACGGAGCTATCCTACAAGACTTGACCTCTACCTCTGTTGTTCTTTTCTGTGAGCAAGAAATAAACCTTCTTATTTAAGTCAGTGATATTTTAGGATTTAATGCCACTCTCAGCAGAACATACTTCCTAACACACATGGACATGAGTTTGAGCAAGCTCCGGGACTTGATGATGGACAGGGAAACCTGGCATGCTGCAGTCCATGGGGTTGCAAAGAGTCGAACACAACTGAGCAACTGAACTGAACTGAACTGAACAC